TTAGTAGTAGTAGGAGTGACAGTATACAAGTAGTAGTAGTTGTAGTAGTAGTAGGAGTTAGGTTAGTAGTAGTAGTAGTATAGTTGTAGAGTAGTTGTTGTAGTAGTAGTAGTAGTTGGTTAGTAGTAGTAGTATTAGAGTGTAGTAGTAGTAGTTGTAGTAGTAGTAGTTGTTGTAGTAGTAGTTGTTGTGTAGTAGTAGTAGTTGTTGTAGTAGTAGTTGTTGTTAGTAGTAGTAGTAGTTTGTTTGTAGTAGTAGTAGTAGTTTTGGTAGTAGTAGTAGTAATTGTAGAGCAGTAGTAGTAGTAGTGTAGTAGTAGTAGTAGTAGTAGTATTAGTAGTAGTATAGTAGTAGCAGAGTAGTACAGTAGTGTAGTAGAGTAGTAGTAGTTCAGTAGTTAGTGGTAGTAGTAGTACAGAGTTAGTAGTAGTAGTAGTAGTAGTAGTAGTAGTAGTAGTAGTAGTAGTAGGAGTAGTAGTAGTTGTAGTAGTAGTAGTAGTAGTAGTAGTAGTTAGTTTGTAGTAGTAGTAGTAGTTGTAGTGTAGTAGTAGTAGTAGTTGTTGTAGTAGTAGTAGTTGAGTAGTAGTAGCAGTAGTAGTAGTAGTAGTAGTAGTAGTAGTAGTAGTAGTAGTAGTAGTAGTAGTAGTAGTAGTAGTAGTTAGTGTAGTAGTAGTAGTAGTAAGTAGTAGTAGTAGTAGTAGTAGTACAGTAGTAGTAGTAGTAGTAGTAGTAGTAGTAGTAGTAGTAGTAGTAGTAGTAGTAGCAGTTGTTGTTGTTGTAGTAGTAGTTGTTGTAGTAGTAGTAGTTGTTGTTGTAGTACAGTAGTTGTTGTAGTAGTAGTAGTTGTTGTAGTAGTAGTAGTTGTTGTTGTAGTGTAGTAGTAGTTGTTGTAGTACAGTAGTTGTTGTAGTAGTAGTTGTTGTAGTACTAGTAGTTGTTGTAGTAGTAGTAGTTGTTGTTGTAGTAGTAGTAGTTGTTGTAGTAGTAGTAGTTGTTGTAGTAGTACAGTAGTTGTTGTAGTAGTAGTAGTAGTGTTGTAGTGTAGTAGTACAGTAGTTGTTGTAGTAGTAGTAGTTGTTGTAGTAGTAGTAGTTGTTGTAGTAGTAGTAGTAGTTTAGTAGTGTTGTTGTTGTAGTAGTAGTAGTTGTAGTGTAGTAGTAGTAGTACAGTAGTTGTTGTAGTAGTAGTAGTAGTTGTTGTAGTACAGTAGTTGTTGTTGTAGTACAGTAGTTGTTGTAGTAGTAGTAGTAGTTAGTTGTGTGTAGTTGTAGTACAGTAGTTGTTGTAGTAGTACAGTAGTTGTTGTAGTAGTAGTAGTAGTTGTTGTAGTAGTAGTAGTAGTTGTAGTAGTAGTAGTAGTTGTTGTAGTAGTACAGTAGTTGTTGTAGTAGTACAGTAGTTGTTGTAGTACAGTAGTTGTTGTTGTAGTAGTACCAGTAGTTGTTGTTGTAGTACAGTAGTTGTTGCTGTAGTACAGTAGTTGTTGTAGTAGTAGTAGTAGTTGTAGTAGTAGTAGTAGTAGTAGTTGTTGTAGTATTACAGTAGTATTACTCTGTTTACATTATTCTGTTTAACTTTGATCAGTGTAAAAAGTTTTTACCTTGACACAGACGCACGCGCACAGCCCAGTGCCCACGTGCGTGTGTTTTCGGGCTCACGCGCCTCCGGTGAAGTGTCCTCGCGCTCACAGCTGCTACGGCTCACACCGGAGGAGCACGTGCACTCTAATAAACAACAACGATAAACAACAGTCCACGTAAAACCCGCACACACCGACACGACACCCGCACACACAGACCCCGCACACACACAGACCCCGCGCACACACACAGACCCCGCACACACAGACCCGCGCACACACAGACCCGCCACACAGACCCCACGCCGCACGAACTACTGCCGAACTCACGTGGAGACACTTCCGCATACGTCAGGAAGCTCCGCCCCGTCACACACAGCCGACCAATGAGGGTGCGTCTGACGCTGCACGCGCATCAAGTACAGGATTTCCGCTTTATGATAAATCCTCTGGGGGGAAAAATAAATAAATAAAAATTAATAAATAAATTAATTAATAAATAAGATTAATCCTCTGACATAGCAAAAAATAATAATAATAATAAATCACGGCCAGAACATTTACGAGTGAAGACGCTCTGAGCTTCTGCACCTTAACTCCGTAATATCTGGTTTAATATTCACCTCTTCATATCATCAGAAAAAGTCCCTGTATATGTTTGAGAAGAATATACTCCCATAGTTACAAGAAAAAAAGCTCCACAGACGCAGACGTGTGTGTGCGTGTGTGTGTGTGTGTATATATGTGTGTGTGTATATGTGTGTGTGTGTGTGTATATGTGTGTGTGTGTATATATGTGCGTGTGTATATATGCGTGTGTGTATATATGTGTGTGTATATATGTGTGTGTATATGTGTGTGTGTGTATATATGTGTGTGTGTATATGTGTGTGTGTGTATATGTGTGTGTGTATATATATGTGTGTGTATATGTGTGTGTGTGTGTATGTGTGTGTGTGTGTGTATATATGTGTGTGTGTGTGTGTATGTGTGTGTGTATGTGTATGTGTGTCGGGGTGTGTGTGTGTGTGTGTGTGTGTGTGTTTGTGTGTCGGGGTGTGTGTGTGTCGGGGTGTGTGTGTGTGTGTGTGTGGGTGTGTGTGTGTTGTGGGTGTGTGTGTGTGTGTGTGTGTGGGGTGTGTGTGTCGGGGTGTGTGTGTGTCGGGGTGTATGTGTGTGGGTGTGTTGGGGTGTGTGTGTGTGTTGTGTGTGTGTGTGTGTGTGTGTGTATATATATGTATGTGTGTCGGGTGTGTGTGTGTGGGTTGTGTGGTGTGTGTGTGTGTCGGGTGTGTGTGTGTGTATATATATGTATGTGTGTCGGGGTGTATGTGTGTGTTGGGGTGTGTGTGTGTTGTTGTGTGGTGTGTGTGTGGTGTGTGTATATATATGTGTGTGTGTGTGTGGTGTGTGTGTGTGTGTGTGTGTCGTGTGTGTGTGTGTGTGTGTGTCAGGTGTGTGTGTGTGTGTTGGGGTGTGTGTGTGCGTCGGGTGTGTGTGTGTGTGTGTGTGTCGGGGTGTGTGTGTGTCGGGGTGTGGGGTGTGTGTGTGTGTGTCGGGGTGTGTGTGTGTGTCAGGGTGTGTGTGTGTTGGGGTGTGTGTGTGTCAAGTTAAAAAGCCCAGCCCCTGCACCAAGTTTTCACCTCCAGTCCAGAGCCTGTCTCCTCTCACCTCTGCTCCTCCTCTTCCTCCTCCCCTTCCTTTTTATTAGTTGATTAGGTTATTTTGAGTCTGGCCAGTAGATGGCAGCAAGACAAAAAACAAGGTAACCAGGTGTGTCTCTGTAATCATTTAATTAGGCCCAGGTGTGTGCAAACAAATCAAACCAAACCAAGGAATGTGAGGGGAAACAGAGACACTACTGGTAAGGAAATTTAACTTTAAAATTAGTTTTAAGTTTAAAAGGAACTGTAAATAAATTCAATTTAAGTTTGAAAATGCCAAAAGAGTTAAGTTGAATAACTAAATTGTTTAAATCAGATTTACTACACTATAAATAAAGAAAATGATGTAAATCCTAAGTTTAAGTAGCTCTAGTTAAATATTATATAAATATGTTATTTAGCAATTAAAAAACAATGTATTTATGAATCAGAATTTATCTGCGAATATTACTTTCATATTCATTTAAAACTGTATAAAAAGTTAATTATAGGATTAAAAAATTATTGGTTAAAATGATAGCTATTTAAGTTCATGTGTGAAATGTATACTAGATAAAAAAATACAATAATATATATATAATAATATATATTATATATAAATGATATTATAATTGAAGTGTATTAATTAAAATTAAATTGGATTATATAACTAATGAAATTGTAAAATGCTAATTTAATTACACATTTGTTTACTTTAAAGGTTTTCGACCTGCTACTGCTACTGCTACTGCTGCAGCTACAACAGCTACAAATACCACTACTACTACTACTACTACTACTACTACTACAACTAAAAGAATCAAATTATTTCAATAAAAAACTTCAAGCCGAGTTGAGCCTTGTGTCTGTTTCCCTGTTTTTTTTCAAGTTGGACCTGCATTCCGGAAATAAAGACTTGACAGTGTGTGTGTGTCGGGGTGTGTGTGTGTGTCGGGGTGTGTATATGTGTGTGTGTCGGGTGTGTGTGTGTGTGTCGGGGTGTGTATATGTGTGTGTGTCGGTGTGTGTGTGTCGGGTGTGTGTGTGTGTCGGGGTGTGTATATATATATGTGTGTGTGTCGGGGTGTGTATATATATATGTGTGTGTGTGTGTCGGGGTGTGTGTGTCGGGGTGTATATATATATATGTGTGTGTGTGTCGGGGTGTGTATATATATATATATGTGTGTGTGTGTGTGTCGGGGTGTGTATATATATGTGTGTGTGTCGGGGTGTGTATGTGTGTGTGTGTGTGTGTGTGTGTCGGGGTGTGTATGTGTGTGTGTGTCAGGTGTGTGTGTGTCGGGGGTTGGGACAGATGGTATTTCCAGGTCGTGTTTCTTTTTCCTGTTGCTTCATGTTTCGTTGTATTTTCTGTTTCGTTTGTTCTGATTTAGTCCTGGTTTAGTCCTGGTCTAGTCCTGGTTTAATCTTGGTTTAATCTTGGTTTAATCTTGGTTTAGTCTTGGTTTAGTCTTGGTTTAGTCCTGGTTTAGTCCTGGTTTAGTCTCTGTTGTGTGTTTTCTCTGTGTTTTAAATCCAGAACCTTCCTCAGTTCATCTTCTTCTTCACTTCTGGTCAGACCTGGTGGACACTGGCTTCTCTCTGCCTGCAGGGGGCGCACCTGTCGCTGAGCCGCACCTGTCACTGAATGGTTTATTTTTGAACTTTTTTCACATAGTGTTGGGAAGGTTCATTTTTAAAATATATTCCATTACAGATTACACATGGACAAACACAAATGGACAAACTTTGCAAAAAAAAAAAACAGTAGATAATTCTTGCTCTTTACAAACCATTTATTAATACAGTTTAATTGCACTTAAAAAAAAAAAAGACCCTCTCCCCTGGTTCTCTCAGGAAAAACAAAACCATTTTCAACTCAGATTTTCCTTCTCTCAGCACGTCTGTCTGTTCTCACGGTCACTTACGAAGGCCACACAAAAAAACACCGTTTCACAAAACTACAAATACAAAAAAGTCACAATCCCATTTCCAAAACACAGAACTCACTCTTCTCAAAGTTTTCTAAAAAAACACAAGGCCAATGCATCTTTACATTATTATACATTTCTAATAGTCGTAGTAGTAGTAGTAGTATTATTACTAGTAGTAGTAGTAGTAGTAGTGAAAGTATTAAGTGTTAAATAATAAATACATGTGTGTAATATGTGTTTTATAAAGCATTGGCCTTAAACCAAAACTGCCTCTGATCTGATCCTGAGTCAGTGCTAGTGCGGCCTCTGCAGCTCAGGGACTGATGCTGGATTTAAAGCTGATTTAAACAGGGATGGATCTGTACATATTTTGAGCAAACACAAACTAAAAACCACAAACGCTGCTCTTAGCAGCCTTGTCTCTTCACTCTACACACAGACACCTACATTCAATTTGTACTAAGGGCCCTAAGGGCCCACAGCACACACGAAGGGCCCACAGCACACACGAAGGGCCCACAGCACACACGAAGGGCCCACATGACCAGGAGTTGGACCCAAGAAGTGAACCTGGGACGTTGTTGCTGTGAGGAGCGACTCGTGACACTTTGAGGGCCCATCACCCACCACTAGACTTGTTCCGGGGCCCCGTGCTGCTTCGCTCGGCCACCGGCTCTTCCTTTCTTACAGCTGTTAGTACGTGTAATAATCATGAGCGATATTAAATGGTTAGTGGTGCAAAGCTGATCTAGTCTAATCTCCTGGAGGATCTCTCATCTGCAGATCCTCACAGACGACCCCGGGTACGAGAGGTGAAACCCGGGGAACAGGAGCTCAGAGTCCAGAGCGATGCTGAAGGTGTGGAGGTGAGACAGTTTGTTGTTAGTGAAAACCTGGTAGAAAGACACGGATCCAGCGTCAGAGTCCAGGTACACGCCCACTCGGCCTGAGGACACGCCCACTCGGCCTGAGGACACGCCCACTCGGCCTGAGGACACGCCCACTCGGCCTGAGGACACGCCCTCCTGACTGGACATGTTGCTCCCGTTGGACATGACTAAGATCTCTGTGTCGTTGTGACACACATAAAACTTTCTGTCCTTGATCCTCAGACTCCAGGACTGATGACTCTGTCCAAACTTCTCCTCTGTGTCTCCTGTGGGTCTGTACGTCACTGCCACGTCCACCCAGCCCCTCCACTGCACCTCCCAGAAACAGCGCCCCCTCAGGCCAGACGAGCTCCGGACCTGAGGCCAGAGGAGGAACCTGTCCTCATGATCTGGACTCTGCTCTTCCTCCTGCTCCTCGTCCTCCTCATGTGTCACTGTGAGTCTGTCTGCAGACACCACGAGTCTCCTGTGAGCCGAGTTAGGCTCCAAAGACACGTCACACAAATCTGAAGGAAACAAAATACAACAAGTCCTTTTCAGCCCGTAAACCTGTGATTATATTAAAGTTAAACCCTCACCCGCCGCACCCGCCGCACCCGTGATAATTCATACACAAATTACAAGCTTTCTAACTGAAGTGTCCATCAGAATATGAAATGAAAAGTTACGACTTCAAGAATTACAATCACCAAATGAAATGGTTTCACTTTCTTCAGTATGAACACAAATTTACAGACGCGACTCGACTCTCATCACTTTATTTAATGAGCAGAAGAAACTGACTGAACCAGGACTAACTCAGGACTGATTCCAGGACTAAACCAGGACTGAACCAGGACTCACTGTTGGGACAGGTCCAGAGGTGCGTCAGTGTTGCCCATGGAGTGACCACAGGAGCAGAGCTACGAGCCACATGGAAGTAAGTGCTGCACAGACTAGGGTTTATCTCTCTCTCAAGATTAGTCCTGGTCCAGTCCTGGTCCAGTCCTGGTCCAGTCCTAGTTTAGTCCTAGTTTAGTCCTGGTTTAGTCCTGGTTTAGTCCTGGTTTAGACCTGGTTTAGTTCTAGTTCAGTCTTTGTTTAGACTTTGTTTAGTCCTGGTCCGGTCCTGGTCCAGTCCTGGTCCAGTCCTCGGTTCAATCCTGGTTCAATCCTGGTTTAGACCTGGTTTAGTTCTAGTTTAGTCTTCGTTTAGACTTTGTTTAGTCCTGGTTTAGTCCTGGTTTAGTCCTGGTTTAGTCCTGGTTTAGTCCTGACCCGCCTGTGTGTAATTAATAATAATAAATAATAAATCTCGCTCGTTTCAGCAGTTATCTGGGGGGTACGGGACCCGGTGCAGGACTCTGCTTCCTGTTGACATGAACATGAAACAAAACTCAGACTCACACTTCCTCAGACCCGGAACCATCCACTGTTCTCCTGCAGGATCCAACCTGAAACACACAGACACTTATGACATTAAACTCTAAACTATCAAACCTTTGATTGTGGGTGTGACTGGGCAGTGTGGTCTCACCTGACAGACAGCAGGGGGCGCTGGTCCTGTAGAGCGCTCAGGAGCTTTGCTGAGGGTCCTGGATGGTTGTAGCTCAGGTCGAACTCTCTGAGGTGGGACGGGACGGAGCTCAGAGCTGAGGCCAGAGCAGCGCCGCCGCTCTCTGACACCAGACATCCAGACAGACTAAAGACACAGCAGCAGGGATTAGCCTCGCAGTAAAACCCCGAGCGACGCAAAACAGAGCGAGACACATTCTGAAAGCTCATGGGAGGATAAACTACACACCCACAAACTAAACTTGAGTGTAAAGTAAAATATACAAATGATGAATGTCTGCCTCAAGTGGAGGAGTTCAAGTATCTCGGGGTCTTGTTCACGAGTGAGGGGAGGACGGAGCGTGAGACTGACAGGTGGACAGGTGCAGCGCGGGCAGTAATGTGGTCACTGTATCGGACCGTTGTGGTGAAGAGGAGCTGAGTCGAAAGGCGAAGCTCTCGATTTACCGGTCAGTCTTCGTTCCTCCTCTCACCTCTGGTCATGAGCTCTGGGTAATGACCGAAAGGACGAGATACAAGCGCTCGAAATGAGTTTCCTCCGCAGGGTGTCTGGGCGCTCCCTTAGAGACAGAGTGAGGAGCTCAGTCACACGGGAGGAGCTCGGAGTAGAGCCACTGCTCCTCCACGTCGAGAGGAGCCAGTTGAGGCTCGGGCGTCTGTTCTGATGCCTCCTGGACGCCTCCTCGGGAGGTGTTCTGGCATGTCCCACCAGGAGGAGGCCCTGGGGAAGACCCAGGACACACTGGAGGGACTATGTCTCTGGTCTGGGAACGTCTCAGGATTCCCCCGGAGGAGCTGGAGGAAGTGTCTGGGGTGAAGGAAGTCTGGGAGTCCCTGTTTAGACTGATGCCCCTGCGACTCGGCCCCGGATGAGCGGAAGAAAATGGATGGATGTTTGTCTGTCATACATCATGTGTACTGGATATTTTATTTGGCCTTAATAAAAACATTTTAAGCATCTTAAATCTGCGTATGTGCTCTAATCTCGTGCACATTTTAGACAGTTCCTTTCCGCTTCTCCGTGTCCCCGTGTCCCCATCTTGTAGGATTTGTGGGCAGGAGCAGGACTAAAAATTACAATTCTTTGCGGGTGCGGGCAGAATTCACCCCGGTGCAGACCTCTGCCTCCCAGGACCTGCGTCCACGTAAATGTCCAACACATTTAGGGTTGTTCAGGCACTTGATACAGTAAAAACTTTTTGCAAATCATTATTCAACTGTGACTTCATTAATGATTAAATCATTAAATTAATTTAAAGTTTATATATCAGGGGTTCTAAACCTTTTCAATCTTGGGGCATCATTTTCTAAACAAACGAACCTGGGGCCCTGTCTCATATTAAATGCATCATATTGTTCTGACTGTGGGGTCCCCAAGGAGGTGAGGAGGTTCAGAATCACTGTTATAAATCATATGTGGACATGATTTTTCTCAAAAACAACATGTAAAAATATAATTCTTTTTTTTTTCATCAGGTCCTGATCAGGCCAAATAAAAAAGAGAAATAAATAAATCAAGTGTGAGTCCATGTGCACAGTGCACAAAGCAGCACATATGTTTCGGTGTCCAGTGGGAAAAAGTTCCACAGGACACAGAAAACATGAAAAAGTTTTACCAGGTGAGAGTCGCTCAATGTCGATGACGAGGCCCCGCCCCCCACCCCCCGTTTGGTGTCCTGGTTTTGACAAACACAAAACTCCTCCGCTTAGTTTATGCAAATGAGCCATGCGGTTTTAAGTTTTGTTTCTATGAGACTTGCACAAATCTGAATTAAACACATTATAATGTCAAACAGCTGATGTGGCTCTAGAGTCGTTACGGTTTATATGTCGTAAAGTTGAATTTATTTATCCAATTAGTAGTGCAGATAGTAATAATAATGATGATCATTTTAATATAAAAACGTTAATGATTAATCGATAATCGATCATTAATTCTCCCGACAATCGATTAAGAAAATTGAATCGAATGCCCGTCCCTATTTGGTACATTCAAAGGTTTTCGCTGCGTTTTGTCTCATGTTCATCCTCAAACTGTTTTTCATGTCATTGTTCTACCACTTTGTTTGTTTTTGTACAATAATAAAAAACTAAGAAAATGTGGACACAATGGGACAGTATTAGACCATTACAGACCACCTCACCTGAGCGTCTCCAGTCTGCAGGGGGCGCTCTTCAGCCCAGAACACAGCAGCTCCACTCCTGAGTCCTGGAGGTCGTTGTTACTGAGATCCAGATGTGTGAGACTGGAGGAGCTGAGGACTGAGGCCAGAGGAGCACAGCTGAGCTCCGTCAGGTTACAGCTGGACAGACTGAGGAGAGACACGTCAGAGACCAGGACGAGCACAGAACGGTTCGACTGAACTTCACTTCAGACTTACATGGCTTTGGTGGAGGCTTTGACCACCCGCATCAGCTTCAGCAGAGCAGTTTCAGAAGAACGATATTGCTTCAGGTCAAACTCGCTCAGATCAGAGCACAATAAGAAGAAGGACACAGCCGACCACTGAGCTGGAGACAGTTGGTAATGAGAAAGACGTCCGTTTTTCATGAAGCTCTGGACCTCCTGCACCAGACTGTGGTCGTTGAGCTCGTTCAGACAGTGGAGCAGGTTCATTCTTCTCTCTGCAGACAGACCCTCTTCATCCAGCTTCTGTTTGATGTACTTTACTGTCTCCTGATTTGTCCGGTCACTTCCTGTGTGAGTCAGCAGACCCTGCAGCAGCCTCTGATTGGTCGGCAGAGACAGCCCCAGGAGGAAGCGCAGGAACAGGTCCAGGTGTCCGTTTGGACTCTGTAAGGTCTGGTCCACAGCAGAGCGGTAGAAGTCTGCCTCAGGGTCTGGGCTCTCAGAGGAGTGAGGTGAGGACAGAAGGTTCACTCCAGAGCTGAAGAAGGTCTGATGGACGTGAAGAGCCGCCAGAAACTCCTGCACACTCAGATGGATGAAGCAGTAGACCTTGTCCTGGTACAGGCCTGGCTCCTCTCTAAAGATCTGTGTGAACACTCCGGAGTACACTGAGGCCGCTGCAGCGTCCAGCCCACACTCGCTCAGGTCACTCTCGTAGAAGATCAGGTTTCCTTTCTGCAGCTGCTCAAAGGCCAGTTTCCCCAGAGACTTCACCATCTCCCTGGTCTCTGGAGTCCAGTGAAGGTCCTCCCCTGATCCCTGGTGATACTTGATGTTTTTGACTTTGGCCTGCACCACCAGGAAGTGGACGTACATCTGTGTGAGAGTTTGGGGCAGCTCTGGTTTTGTTTGTTCCAGAAGCTTCTGTAGAACTGTGGAGAGGATCCAGCAGAAGATCGGCAGGTGGCTCATGATGTGGAGGCTGCGGATGCTCTTGATGTGAGAGATGATGGCTGTGGACTTATGTTCATCACTGAACCTCTTTCTTAAGTACTGCTCCTTCTGTGGGTCGGTGAACCCTCTGACCTCTGTCACCATGGAGACGCACCATGCAGGGATCTGATTGGCCGCGGCGGGGCGCGTGGTTATCCAGAGGCGAGCGGAGGGAAGCAGGCTCCCCCTGATGAGGTTCACCAGCAGCACGTGCACTGAGGTGGACTCTGTGGGGTCGCTCAGGAATCGGGTTTGGCTGAAGTCCAGAGGAAGTCTGCACTCGTCCAGACCGTCAAAGATGAAGAGCACCTGGAGGTCTTCAAAGCTGCAGAGATGTTTGGATGGACTGAAGAAGTGGTGCAGCAGCTCCACCAGGCTGAACTGTGTGTCTCTGAGCACATTGAGCTCTCTGAAAGTGAACGGGAACAGCAGCTGGAGGTCCTGGTGGGCCCGGCCTTCAGCCCAGTCCAGACTCAACTTCTGAGTCAGCACTGTTTTCCCGATGCCGGCCACGCCCTTCGTCAGCACCGTCCTGATTGGCCCCTGTGAGTCAGGAGGCCCTTTAAACATGTCTTCACATGTGATTGTCGTTTCTGCTGGTTTCATGGAGAAGTTCTCGATGTTGATGACCTCATGTTCTTGGTTGACTCCTGCGGTCCCTCCCTCTGTGATGTAGAGATCTGTGTAGATCTGGTTCAGGGGGGCAGGGCTTCCTGCTTTAGCCACGCCCTCAAACACACGGCTGAACCTCCGCTGCAGATGCCTCCTCAGGTCGACGCCGCACTCCTCCACTGTGCTCCCTGTGAGACACAAAGAGGTGATCAGACAGATGAGATCAATCAACAGACCTTTAAACCTTTGGATCAGAGAGTTTATGATGAACGCTCTAATAACAGAGGAACTAAATAGACTGAATATGTAGATGTAGTTACTGGGTAAGGTGAGGGTTAAGAGTTTATCTTCCTTAGAGATCCTGTTCAGCAGAGACATGAGGAGATGTTGCAGGTGCCACTTAAACATGACCACAGCCTCATCTGATCCACAGAAGGACACAAACCTCCAGCGACCCGACAAGGCTTTTGTTTTATTTTCCATACACACAACAGTGACCCTCTCAACTACTGACCAGACAAATATTCCACAAGTGAACTCATTTAAGTGGAGCTCCTTTATGTTCTGTAAATGCTGTGGGCTGTTTGTTGTGGGAGTTCCTAGTTTCTGTACCAAGAGCCACAGGTTCTTCCCTCTGCTCAGACACTCACCCTGCGGCTCCAGCTCGAAGGACGTGTTCTGTAAAACTTCTTTGCGGTGCTTCTCCTCAGGATTAAGCTTTGTCAACAAGCGTGTGATTTCCTCCTCCTGCTTCCAAAGAGACAGAGACACGTTTTATTTCTCACACAAGGTCAAACCAAAACAGCTCAGAAGAAAACTCCAGCTCCTTTCTACGTAAATACAAGCACTGCTCTGTGTTACTGCTTTACGTGGGCAACGAGAAGCTGCAGTGAAAGTGTTACATGTTTTTATGTTTTAACTGAGGGACTTTTTAAAATTGTGACTTTATTTGTAAACGGCTCCCCCTCCTGGACACATCAGCAGTGTGAACAACTAACCACAAGATGGAGCCAAAGAGTTTCTTACCAGAACTACTCAAACCTAAGAAAAGACAGGCAGCTGACCAGCAGAGGAATAATAAAGTTAAGAAAAAATTACATTTAAATAAGTACCATAAGTCTTCATGAACTAAACCCTCAGTGAAGATAAAATAAACTTAACTTTAACTTTGATTATAAAATATAGCAGCTCATGAGTCTGTCACCACAGTGAGTAAAGACAGAACCCTCAAGCACTGAACTGTCACACAACAGAGACTTTTAGAGCAGAGACTTTTACAGCAGAGACTTTTACAGCAGAGACTTTTACAGCAGAGACTTTTAGAGCAGAGACTTTTACAGCAGGTCAGTGGTTTGGTGGCCACAGACAGAGGTTTCTTGTGTCTCTCAGTGGAGCAGTGCGGCCGTCACAGACTGGCTGATGTGTGATGTGTTCGTGTGTGTGTGTGATGTGTGTGATGTGTGTGTGTGTGACAGGAGCATTTTAAACTCACCGCGTCCTGCTGAGTCTGTAGATTTCCTCTGTTCTGCTCCAGATCGTCTCTGTGAAAGGAGACACACGGTTACAGTCGAGCTGTTATTTTGTGTTAAGAGTTTTAGTTTTGCTTTAAACAAAGCTGAATAATAATAGTTTGCAGTGTAACACAAGAGTGTATCTGCTGCTCTGATCTTGTCCACAGACATTTTCAGTTGTTTTGCCAGAACAAGTCCAGTAGAATCTGATCATCAGGTCTCGTCTCGTCCCAGAGCCACTTTCTGATGGGCTGTTTTAAAACATCTCTCCTCTGTCTCCAAGTGGAGAAACACGTGTGTATGACTGATTTATTTTGAAGTTGAATGTGTTTGTGTTTGCAAAGAGCAGAAAGCGTCTACACAAACCTTTTAAAGTCTAAACCAAAGTCTTTGGACATGTTGCTCTTCAGAGACTCGAGGCTGGGACCAGGTTCTGGGATGATCCTCCTGAAACAGAACAAACACTGATGTGTAAATGTTTACAGAGAATAACTGCAGGTGTCTTCAGTGAGCTCCAGCACATGAGGAGCAGTGATGTTAATGTTTATTTCCACTTTAATCAAATCACAAATAGTGGTTATTTCAGATTTGTTTTGAAGTTGAATGTGTTTGTGTTTGCAAGAAGCAGAAGATTCAAACCTTTTAAAGTCTAAACCAAAGTCTTTGGACATGTCGCTCTTCAGAGACTCACAGACGGGACCAGGTTCTGGGATGATCCTCCTGAAACAGAATAAACACTGATGTTTAAATGTTTGAACAGTAGAACTGCAGCTGTCTTCAGTAGGGATGTCCTGGTCACATTTTTTTGCCCCCGAGTTCGAGTCTTTTGATTTTCAGTATCTGCCGATACCGAGTCCCGATCCGATACTTCTATAAAACATTATGAAATGAACTAAGAGCAAAGAATCAGATCCAGGATGTGCAGGATCAGATTGTGTTGATTTCATGTGTCGTATTTGGGCTGAACTTAGCGTGAAAAATCTAATGTTCAAAACTTGATTTTTTAAAGAACTTTTCTAACCATGAACCATCATTGTTGAAATTCTTGACTTTTCACAGTCTGGTCTTGGAAAATGTAACTTAGTAAACTTAATGAACTGGACAATAGAGGTCTGTGTGGGACTGAAAATTCTGTCCCTCTAGTACAACAGGCGCTGGGACAGACAGACGCGCTGATGTCCCTGAGCAAATCCTACATCTCAGAAAAACTGTTGTGTGCTGTGTGCGCTGTGTTATATACGTCTATTATTTATCCAATCGAGTCCATCGGCGCCGTTTTCCAATCACGTGATCGGATCAGGACAACCCTAGTCCTCGGTGAACTCCAGAACATGAGGAGCAGTGATATTAAAGTTTATTTCCACTTTAATCAAATCACAAATAGTGGTTATTTCAGATTTGTTTTGAAGTTGAATGTGTTTGTGTTTGCAAGAAACAGAAGACTCAAACCTTCTAAAGTCTAAGCCGAAGTCTTTGGACATGTTGCTCTTCAGAGACTCGAGGCTGGGACCAGGTTCTGGGAAGGGCGTCCTGAAACAGAACAAACACTGATGTTTAAATATCTGCACAGTAGAACTGCAGGTGTCTTCAGTGAGCTCCAGCACATGAGGAGCAGTGATGTTAATGTTTATTTCCACTTTAATCAAATCACAAATAGTGGTTATTTCAGATTTGTTTTGAAGTTGAATGTGTTTGTGTTTGCAAGAAGCAGAAGACTCAAACCTTCTAAAGTCTAAACCAAAGTCTTTGGACATGTTGCTCTTCAGAGACTCGAGGCTGGGACCAGGTCTTAGTCTGGTCTTCCTAAAAGACACAACATGGACAGTGTTATTACTGTCCATTGTTACTGGCGGGGTCAGGTGAGGGTCACTGTCCCTCCTCGGAGTCGTCTCAGAGCTGCTCCCAGGCTCCACGTCCACCTCCATCCTGAGACCTGCAGGACAAAACAGAGACATGTGACTGATGCTTCTGTGACGCTTCTGTGACGCTTCTGTGTGCGAAGGTTTTCTGGACTAAACTTTTGTCTTAAAGGCCGATATCACAAAAATGACTCTTCAGAACTTTAAGTCAAGTTATAATGTTGTCATGTTGTTGTGTTTTGTTTCGTTCACACGTTTGAGTAACTCTTGTCTACAATGTTTGTCTGGGCTGGGCAAAAAAATCTATTAAATCAAATAATTGAATTAGAAAGAAGATGAAGAAAATCCATTTTTATTTTCCCCACTTTCTTACATTGGAAAATACACTAGAAATACTAATAAGTGCGTTCACTGTGGTCCCAGGGGGCAGAGTTTAGTTCTGACTCGTCTGAAAATGGAAAAACGGAAAGTGGCTTATTTCAATGGGGCAGCGTGAATCGATACACGTCACTGTCGATTTAGGCTGCGGGAGCTCAGTTCCACAGGACTCTGAGTTTGTTTACCTCATATCCTGGGAATGTAGTTCGGTCGTGTTTATGGAATTTAAAGTGAAAATCTGACATCACTTTAACCATAATATTTGTCTTACCTCAGCCTAAATGAATCTTTATCATCAATTATTTTATGTATAAGACAAAACAAACAAACAAATAAATAAAAAATTATTAATTAATTAATAAAAAAAAAATAATAATAATAATAAATAAATAGATGTTTAGTGGTCAGTGGTCCTGGTCTCAGTCCCAGTCTGGTTCCTGTCTGGTCCTGGTTCAGTCCTGGTTTTGTCCTGGTTCAGTCCTGGTTCAGTCCTGGTTCAGTCCTGGTTTAGTCCTGGTTTAGTCTTGGTTTAGTCCATTATCTGTTTTTTCAGATTAAGAATGTAAGGATTTTTTTTTAAATTTTCGTTTATGGTCGTACAAACTAATAATAATATTAACAAAGGCACAATTGATGATTTTTATAAGTCCAACACTGTAAAGCCTTTAAAAAAAAGATCTGGAATTAATAAATTATGCTTTAATTTATATTTTGTCTCTAGTATGTTCAGTGAGTCGTAAGTAAAGTTGTAAAATGCAAACTTGTTCAAAAAATAAATAAATAAATCAATCAATAATCTGGCTCGTTACTCAAATCGACGCATTTGAAGTGTAACAGCGCTTTGGCGTCATGCGCATGCGCACAACCAAATTATCAAATCGACAACACATCGGTACAACGTTCACGAAAAAATATTTATAATGCTGATTTAAAATTAAATTAAATGTCATTGTTTCAAACATTATTAAGAAAAACATAAATGGATCGTTAAGTTTGGGTCAGGGTTTTGTTAACGTGAAGGGGGAAAAGTAAACAACTAAATAATGACATAAATACGTAAAGAAAATAAGTTAAAAAAAATATATATATATATGAAGCTTGTTTCTGACCACTGTAGCTGACACAATCGAGTTTTTACCTTTCCTTGATGAAATGACACGATGTTTCCCGTCACTTTATAATGTATTTCTTTACTTTTACGCGGTGTTTATGTCCACGAAGAGCGGGGACATTTATGCTACGTCACGGCCCGCATACCGAACCGAGCGCACCCTGACCTTTAGAGCAGTGCGGACTGTCCCTGCGCTTTAGAGTTTAGACTAAACTAAACATCACACCGGGTTTAGAGTTACTCACCGTCACTCTGGGCTCGTATTTTTTCGGTTATTTCGTTATTTCGTCGCTTTTCTTGAAATCTTCGCTCTGGATCGTACAAATGTCCACAAAGTGGTTTTGTAAGAACAGGATGTCGTCATGGCTCAAATTACTTTCGTTTACGAGGAAATAGAAGGTTGTTAATGTGGCCTACGGCGGCACCTACTGGACAAACGCATGTACTACAGAACAAACCAGTCTCAAATGAGTCTCAAGTCTTTGACCTCAAGTCCGAGTCAAGTCCCAAGTCAAACACAGGCAAGTCCAAGTCGAGTCTCATTGAGTCCATAAGTCCGAGTCAAGTCCGAGTCAAGTCCGAGTCGTCTGCTTTGAGCTTCAAGTCATTTCAAGCCTTTAAAACCAAAATATCAAATATAGTTTAGATTTTGCAATTTATATGAATTTTAAATTAAATTATGCCACAGTGGCTCACGATGAAACAAAATGTGTGCCGTTGTGTCCATCTTTTTTTTTTTTTTTTTTTTTTTTTTTTTTTAATTGCAGACATATAACAACAAGACAAAAAAACAAAAACAAAAAAAACAAAAACAACCAATGTATATACAGTATAAGGTGCAGATTAGATTGTTGTTGTATCAATGCAAAGTCCAGTTCACAGTTATGGCAGGGGTGAGATATGGAAAATATACATATACATTCATACACATAAACACACATAAACACACACATAAACACACACAAACACACACATAAACACACACAAACACACACACACACAAAACACACACAAACACACACAAACACACACAAACACACACAAACACACACACAAACACACACACAAACACACACATAAACACACACAAACACACACAAACGCACACATAAACACACATAAACACACACACATAAACACACACATAAACACACACATAAACACACACACATAAACACACATAAACACACACATAAACACACACATAAACACACACACACACAAACACACACACACACACATAAACACACACACACACACATAAACACACACATAAACACACACACACACATAAACACACATAAACACACACACACACACACACATAAACACACACAACACACACATAAACACACATAAACACACACACACACACACACACACACACACATAAACACACATAAACACAACACAACACACACATAAACACACACACAAACACACACAAACACACACACACACACACACACAACACACACAAACACACACACTAAAACACACACACACAAACACACACACATAAACACACATAACACACACATAAACACACATAAACACACAAACACACACATAAACACACACAAACACACACATAAACACACACACACACACATAAACACACATAAACACACACACACACTAAACACACACATAAACACACACAAACACACACATAAACACACACACAAACACACACATAAACACACACACATAAACACACACAAACACACACATAAACACACACAACACACATAAACACACAAACACAACACACACATAAACACACACACACACACACACACACATAAACACACATAAACACAACACACACACACACACACAAACACACACATAAAAACACAACATAAACGCACGTAAACACACACATAAACACACACATAACACACACATAAACACATAAACACACACACACAAACACACATAAACACACAAACACACAAACAACACACACAAACACACACATAAACGCACAGAAACACAAACACATAAAACACACAAACACACACATAAACACACATAAACACACACAAACACACACACAAACACACAAACACACACATAAACACACACAAACACACACAAACACACACAACAAAACACACATAAACACACACAACAAAACACACATAACACACACATAAACACGTAAACACACACATAAACACACACAAAACACACACATAAACACACACATAAACACACATAAACACACAAACACACACACACACATAAACACACACAACACACATAAACACACACACAACACACACACACAACACACACAAACACACACATAAACACACATAAACACACACATAAACACACAAAACACACATAAACACACACAAACACACACACATAAACACACATAAACACACACATAAACGCACACAAACACAACATAAACACACATAAACACACACAAACACACACATAAACACACATAAACACACATAAAACACACATAAACACACATAAACACACACACACACACACAAACACACACATAAACACACACAAAACACACACATAAACACACACATAAACACACATAAACACACACATAAACACACACAAACACACACAAACACACACACACACAAACACACACATAAACACACACATAAACACACACACAAAAACACACACAACACACACATAAACACACACACATAAACACACACATAAACACACACACACATAAACACACACAAACACACACATAAACACACACACAAACACACATAAACACACACATAAACACACACAAACACACACACACAACACACACAAACACACACATAAACACACACACAACACACACACACACACAAACACACACAAACACACACAAACACACACACACACACACACACACACATAAACACACACAAACACACACATAAACACACACAAACACACACATAAACACACATAAACACACACATAAACACACACAAACACACACATAAACACACACATAACACACAAAACACACAAACACACACATAAACACACACATAAACACACACACATAAACACACACATAAACACACACACATAAACACACACACACACACAAACACACACATAAACACACACAAACACACACATAAACACACACATAAACACACACATAAACACACACAAACACACACATAACACACACATAAACACACATAAACACACATAAACACACACACACACACAACACACACATAAACACACAAACACACACATAAACACACACAAACACACACATAAACACACACAAACACACACTAAACACACACAAACACACATAAACACACACACACATAAACACACACATAAACACACATAAACACACACATAAACACACATAAACACACTGCAACATGGGGGTGGTTTGCAAATGAACATACAGGGGAGCAGAAGGAATGAAACCAAAACTAAACAACAGAATAACAAAACAAAACAGAATATCATAAATTAAATAAAGCTATACTATATTTTTTATAGATATTGTAAGTTTTAATTGCTTTTTTTTGTTTTGGACCTGTTTTATTGTCTGAAAGTATTGCTGGAGTTTGTTATGATATTGACAGTGTTGGGAGTAACGCGTTATAAAAGTAACGAATTACAGTAATGCATTACTTTTTGCTGTAACGCAGTAATGTAAGGCATTACAGGGGAAAAAATTGTAATATTTTACTCGGTACAAATGTGAGTAATGCGCGTTACAATGTTTTTTTTAACCTGGATTGAAGTGGTGGGTTTTTCTTCATACAAATTCGCTAAAATCACCTCGATATCAGCAGCGGTGAAACGCCGGAGATGCCCCTCGTAGACCTTCAGGTGACCGCGGGCGAAAGGACTGACAAAGAACTCCACGCTGTTTAGACCTGGTTTAGACCTGGGTCAGTTCTGGTTTAGACCTGGTTTACACTCATCCCTCCCTCTATCGCAGTTCACTTTTCGCGGTCTCGCTGTTTTGCAGATTTTTTTTTTGTGTGTGTGCAATTTTGCATGCCCTTTTTTTTACATTGTATGAATGCGTGTTGCGTTCCTCCCGCTGCGTCCTGACTGGCCAAGGGACTCCTGTCTCCTGTACAGTACAGAATGTGTTCAGCTGCCAAATTTAAATACATGTTCAGTCTCTAGCAGTGTGATTCTGAAGTGTTGTACGGTTGCAAGTTTTCTCCCCGACGAAACCCACAACGTCGACGAAACGTTCTGCACCGACAAAGGCTCCTGCGCTCGCACCCAAAAGACAGAGGAAGATGCAACCATCGCACAAAAAGTTGGACTTCTGGACACGCTGAAGGAAGGTAGAAGTTACGCGCTGTAACAGACTCTTGCACCGGCTCAGGTACCTGCAAACAGTTGCTGAAATCAGGGCCGCGAGCCCGAGCAGCAGGGTCCATAAAGAGCGATCAGGTGACAGTCGCTCTTACCTCCGTGAGGTGCGGAGCAGAGCTGCTCCTTTCTCCTGCGTCACCTTCGAGCCCGTCCCCACAGTGAGTCCTGTTTTAGTCCAAGTTCAGTTCTGGTTTAGTCCTGGTTCAGTCCATATACAGCGCAAAAGTTATTTTGGTGAGAGTAATTTAAAGTAATGCAATAGTAATGTAATGCCTTACATTTTAAATGCTGTAATATTGTAATGTAACGAATTAGTTTGAAATGACAGTAATAGGTAATAAATACCGCATTACAGTTTCAAAGTAACTTGCCCAACAGTGGATATTGATGAATATTTGGTTTATTTTGAGACCGTTTGGTTTTGTGTATGTGATATTTTGCCAGCATCATGAGAGTCTGAATGAAGAGTTCAAGGTCTTTGGGGATGGAGGCTGGTGAAGTAAAACAGGACGTCGCTTTCCTGGAGGCTGATCAGGACGAGGCTGTTTGTGCAGATGAAGTTTTGAGTTCGAGGTTGGTCACACTGCCCCCCGGTGGAGACACGTGGTCACTGCAGAGGTGGACTGGACAAAGTGTTGAAGAGGTTTTTATTTACTAATCGAGCTGAGTCCGGTCTAGAGCGGTGTGTGTTTTTACAGGACGTGGAGTGGGGCTGTGGTGGTGGTTTCTGTGCAGGATTTTTAAGGCTCGTTCATGGAGTGACTCTGGATCAGCCTGTTACACTCATAAAAACAGGACATCATCAGTGTGTTGAGTTGTGTTAGTAGATTCCTTTCTGATGCATTTAAATGTTTTGATGTTGTATTTTCGGGTTTTGACTCATCAGTTCGATGTGTTTTTGTCACATTCCGCGTCACTTCCCCATTTCCAGAGACATGTGTCACGAGATTGTACAAAATAAATCGCAAAAATGATGATTCAGATACAAAAACGTCACTTCAGTGTTTTTTTTTTTTAACACAGCACAAGCAACAGTTCAGTGCAGATGTATTTATATGGTCAAAAGTCTCACAGTAATATTGTGCAGCGTCACAATATCTCAAAATCACAAGTTCTTTTGCTTAAAATATAGGTTTTACAGCAGTAACAGCTGATCAACATCGGGAACTACATTTCCCATGATTCATTTCAGCGCAAACAACATGAAGAAATATGTTTTTACTTGAATTCTTTGGATTATGATGGAAATAACTCACACCAAAATCTTGTCAAGATGTTTTAAAAGCAAAAAAAGTATCAGCCTCTGCAAAATATCTCAATAAATATCGTGATAATATCGTCCTAGTATTTACTGTAGAACTTACACATAAATGCCTTAAGCCCCGCCCCCCAATGAACAAACACACGGGTTTAAGGTTTAACTTTAAGCAAAAACTGTTCAAACATAAAGCAAATTATATCTCAACATAATAAAATGACTTAAATAACCCTCCATGTGGCTTTTATTATTATTATTATCATTATTATTAACTCAGGAAATAAAATAAAATGGTCAATAACGGTTCAGGCCCTGGTCACATGACGTGTGTGGGCGCACGAGCAGGGAGTTAGAGTCCTGGCAGAGTGAGATAGAGTCCGTTCAGGTTCAGACGAGCCTATCATCTCCAAACATCTGCACGCGTACGTCCTGCTCGCAGACGGCGGCTCGTTCACACACGGGGAGGAGAGGAGGGGGACGGAGTTTAATCCAGAAACCATGTGCCAGCCTCCTGAGCTTCATTTGACTGGGACTAAGTGCTTATGGGTGACGTCACACTCCTTTAGTCCTCGTCTTGACACAGTCTGTGCTCCTGATCCTGGACAAGGCCCCGGTCATCTCTTCATTTGTTTGTCTAAGTTAGTTTAAGATGTTTTTTCTGGACTAATCACGTCACGCTTATGGTATTTTTCAGACTTTTTTTCATGGTTTGGGTGTTTCCTGCAATCTGCGGCGCATAAGGACGTAAAATAATATTACAGTTTATTGATACCTACATCTGTTTGCTCAACACAAATGAATGTTTGGTTAGATTTTCTGTTTAATGTTTCACAATGTAAAACTAAAAGTGTCTGTAATGTTTCTTCTAACGGCGTGAGGAGACGAGGTTTGATTAGTTTTGTTAAGTCATCACTTGACGCTCATAAGAGACCAAGACAAGACGACAAGTCCAGCCACAAGAGAGTTCGTCCCCCACAAAAAATACTAGTACTTCTACAATTTGCAGCATTTTGGCTTCAGGACACATTTATTTATGTTTTACACAAACTAAACTTAAAAGCAAATGACTCATTTACATAAACTATAAACTCTGATAAAAACAGTTCTTTCCTTGTGTCGTTGATGTGGTTCAGTTTCTGTCGGACAAAAGGACACGACTCAGTGGAATATGAGTGTTCTCTCTGTGACAGAGGGGTGTTCTGCTGATGGTGAATCTGTTCTGTGTTTCTGTCGTGTTGGAGATGGTTCATGTGAAACTTTTCAGAGATTATAAGTTTGTAAGTCGTACACACAGACTGTACAGTGGTGCAACTTCACTTACCAAAGTCTTGGCCACATCGGTTTGTCAAAGTCTGATCCTGTCAGATCTCAGAAGTTCAGCAGGTCTGGTCTGGGTCTGGGTCTGGTCTGGGTCTGGTCTGGGTCTGGTCTGGGTCTGGGTCTGGGTCTGGGTCTGGGTCTGGGTCTGGTCTGGGTCTGGGTCTGGGTCTGGTCTGGTCTGGTCTGGGTCTGGGTCTGGTCTGGGTCTGGTCTGGTCTGTCTGGGTCTGGTCTGGTCTGGGTCTGGTCTGGGTCTGGTCTGGGTCTGGGTCTGGGTCTGGGTCTGGGTCTGGGTCTGGGTCTGGGTCTGGTCTGGGTCTGGTCTGGGTCTGGGTCTGGGTCTGGTCTGGGTCTGGGTCTGGTCTGGGTCTGGGTCTGGTCTGGGTCTGGTCTGGGTCTGGTCTGGTCTGGGTCTGGGTCTGGTCTGGGTCTGGGTCTGGGTCTGGGTCTGGGTCTGGTCTGGTCTGGTCTGGTCTGGGTCTGGGTCTGGGTCTGGGTCTGGGTCTGGTCTGGGTCTGGGTCTGGGTCTGGTCTGGGTCTGGTCTGGGTCTGGGTCTGGGTCTGGGGTCTGGTCTGGTCTGGTCTGGGTCTGGTCTGGTCTGGTCTGGTCTGGGTCTGGTCTGGGGGTCTGGGTCTGGGTCTGGTCTGGGTCTGGTCTGGGTCTGGGTCTGGTCTGGTCTGGTCTGGTCTGGGTCTGGGTCTGGTCTGGGTCTGGTCTGGGTCTGGGTCTGGTCTGGGTCTGGTCTGGGTCTGGACTTGGACGGAGACACTGGGAAAATCAGGAGCCACAGGAGGCGCCAGTGGGAATAACTGTTGTTGTGTCCTTAGGCAAGACACTTCACCCACATTACTGAGTATGAAAGTGGTGTGTGTGTGTGTGTGTGTGTGTGAGTGGTGGTCGGAGGGACTGATGGCGCTGATCGACAGCTGTGCTTCTGTCAGTTTGCCCCAGGGCAGCTGTGGCTACAACAGTAGTTTACATCACCAGGTTTAAAGTGAATGAATAATGTTGAATAATGATCTGTAAAGTGTCTTTGTGACAAAAAATGTCAGTGAAAAGTGCTATAGAAATAAAGACTTACTTACAAAGTCGTACTTAAACATTTTGGTAACAGTAACACTGTTTACTCTGGTAAAATCCTGAGGTTTAACTGTCTCAAAATGTGGATACAGCCCAACTCTAGATGTTTATGTTCTAGTTTAATCTGAAGAACTGTTCATATGTGATGTTAACAATCTGTTCTTCTCTTCTATTGTTTTTACTTCAACTTGACTTTCTTCTGATTTTATAAAATACATTTCCCATAAAAAGTGTGACTTTTACTCCAGAGCGACTTATAGTCTGTAAAATACAGTACAGAACATCCAGCCTTTTCACAGGTTTATTAACAGCAGTTTAAGATCACAGAATCATTACATTAAGTTAGTCATATTTAAACTATCATACATGACAAAATAAACAGACATACAGTTTATACTTGCACAGAAGGGTTAAAGGAAACAGGAAACTGCAGGTGGCGCTGTTTCGGCTGAAGTGCCTTGACCTTTATGAGGAAACTGTAGCTCCAGCTCTTCTCCTCCTACACTTTAAACACAAGATCAGTGCTTTAAGTCCTGGTCTAGTCCTGGTTTAGTCCTGGTCTAGTCCTAGTCCTGGTCTAGTCCTGGTTTAGTCCTGGTTTAGTCCTGGTTTAGTCCTGGTCTCTGTTTACTCATAATATCGAGAGAGAAAGCGACAGATGGAGAGATATTGAAACAACCTGCAATAAACGTCGGGAGAGGCTGGACTCTACAGGACTGTGTTTAAATAACGGGTTTGTTCCGTTACATGAGCTGGTCCAACTCTTAACCTTGTGTTGGCGAGTTTACGGGCGACAGGAGCCGATTCAGCTCTCGGGATAAAGCGACATCTTCTGAATTCTTCTCGTCGTTACTCACAGTGAACCGCTACAACAGGGGTGGGCAAACCTTTCGGCTCGTGGGCCACAAAGGCTCTAAAATTTGACGGAAGGGCCGGACCAGGAGCAGATGGATGGAGTTTTTTGGTAATCTACCTCATAAGAGAAAAAGTTATTGAAATATCCCATAACTGAAACTCATTACAAAACATTACAACAAAATATCCAACGGTGTTTACTATTTATTGAAATGACTATGAGAACACTGAAAATTTAATTAAAAGAATACAGCTTTTTTAAACTTACTAATAGTGACTATTTTAAAGCACTGAAAGTTCTGTTCCGTCAGGACATTATCATCATCACTCTCTTCCTGACTATAGAGGCTTTTGCACCGTCACATGACCCCTATAGTAACGGTCCCTACGCCGCCATGACACCGGGCAACACTATGTCACTGACTTCAGCAGCATCGGAGAAACATGGGCAGGTTTTGTTGTGTATTTGGTTGTTCTAGTCCAGGAGTGTCAAACTCATTTTGGTCCGGGGGCCGTATCCAACCTACTTTGATCCTAAAGGGGCCGGATCAGAAAACTCATGTCATATAAACCCCAAAAATAACAATAAATTCAAATATTTGTGCAGAGAAACACAAATCTATTACAGAAATTTTTTTAAATTGATGAACTATTTCTTATTATAATATTATAATATTATGAACAACCTGAAACTTTAAGAAAAATTCAATTTCAACATTTAAAATATTTTAGTATAAAATCACCCAAGGGCCACATTAAAGATCTTGGAGGGCGGATCTGGCCCCCGGGCCTTATGTTTGACACCTGTGGACTAGACGCTCTGAAAGGAATAAAACGATTCGTTTCTTCACCGTTCCTCTGGAAATGACTCATCAGGATCAAACAAGGGAATTATCGAAAAAAAAAAAGAATTATGGCTGTTCACATTTCCAGTTAAATGTGACTTGTATGTGACTCCAGTGTGAACGTTAAATGGTCCAAAAGTGTCCCACATGTGACACTGGAGACACGACGACGTCAACCGCAGCGAGCGTCTCTGTGTTTACAGAAGTTGTCCAAACATGGACGCAGCATCGAGCACCTGGAGATTTTAAAGTTCCTCTCGTACCGGAGCCACAACATGAACAACTTACTTGTTTTAAGGAGGAGATTGAGAAGGAGAAGGACGAGGTTTTTGGTGGTGGTGTTTTGTGGTGAGTGATGATGTGCTTCACTTCAGTGACACGGAGTTCATTAACAATTTTCTCCTACTTCAGCGCAGAATAGTGACGTTTGTGTCTTGTTGATAACGTGTAGGTGGATGAACCGTTCACACTGAAGTCACATGTCAAAAGATCAGATATGTATCAGTTTCAGGAGCACATATCCAAGTGTCCTGGGTCACATTTGAAAAAATCAGATCTGTGTCATTCAGACTGTCATTAAAAGATCAGATACAGGAACATAGAGGCCAAAAAATCGTATTTGGGTCACTACAGGCTGCAGTCTGAACGTAACCATAGAGACAGAGTGAGGAGCTCGGAGTAGAGTCGCTGCTCCTCCACGTGGAGCGAAGCGTCTGAGGGGAGGACGTCTGTTCTGATGTCTCCTGGGCGTCTCCTTCAGGAGGTGTTCATGTCCCACCGGGAGGAGGCCCCGGGGAAGAGCCAGGACACACTGGAGGGACTATGTCTCTGGACTGGCCTGGGAACACCTCAGGGTTCCCCAGGAGGAGCTGGAGGAAGTGTCTGGGGTGAAGGAAGTCCCTGCTTAGACTGATGACCCCACAGCCCGACCCCGGATAAGAGGAAGAACATGGATGGATAAAATAGATACAAGACCGGTCAAAAGTTTTAGAACAGCCTCATGTTTTGCACTTATTTATTTCAGTTCAAGTCGTGCAGGTCCAATGAAGAGCTTGAAACTTTTTTATGAACTGAAACAGAATCTTGGACGAGCTGTGAAACGTTTTCAATCAAAAAACTTTAGTCCAGTGAGAGAAGCAAGTTTCTGCTTTGTTTTTGGATCCTGGGGGATTTCACACACGTTTCTTTCTGATCTTTGCTTCGAGTTAAGATTAACATTTTTGGGTCTTATTATGGATTTCAAAAGTTAAATCAATATCGACAAATATCAGTTATTGGTATCGGTTCAATCCCGGCTCTTCTTAAAATGACTCCAGCTCTTCTGTCTGCACCGGGAGGTTGTTATAGGGAGAAACTTTGTCCATGTGTCCCCGCTCTCTTCTCCTCCTCGGGCCGCTCCTCCTCCTCCTCCTCGTCCTGCTCCTGGTAGTGCTCCAGGTCCGGTTCCTGGTCCAAATCCCGGTCCAGGCCCTGGTTGTGGCTCAGGTCGGGGTCCGGTCCGTCCTGCGGCTCGGGGAAGGCTCTTTGAGGGCGCTTGGGCACCGCGTAGTCGTCCACGCGGGGGTTGTAGGGAAACTCGTGTCCTTTAGGATCCTGCTCGGTTCCCATGATCCTCCAGGCCTCCACGCGCATCTCCTCCGGCTCGTCGTACAGGGAAGCGCCGGCCACCGCGGACGCCGTCAGAGGTCTGCTGTCCGGATCTGAAACCACAAAAACATCCCCTTAGAATGACCCAAACAAAACCAAATAATGTACGATTTCAATGTCTGTGTTCAGTTGGAGTGAAATGTCATAGTGAAGATCAAATATTTTTCTCATACAGATTTTTAAAGGTCTTGTATTAGACAAAACGGACTCTTGTGGGCTTTAAGTCGTGTTAGAAAGTTGTTCCGTCCTTAAAAACAGACCTGAAGTTGTGTTTTGTTTCAGTAATTTTTTATTATTAGTTTGTCCACATCTCCAAAACTCAAACTGATCAAACTGATCTGTTCCACCTTGTTCTGAGTTGAATCTAGAAATAATCCTGAGTCTGTTTAAAGACAATGCAGTAAAGTGTGTTTAACTTGTTGACATGTTTTGCCTGCTGCTGCATCTTCAGAACTGTCACTGGTGTTGGTGGTGACGTGTCGTATATCAGCTGTTGTTACTTCCTGTGGGCGTGGTCAGACCTGATGGACCTGCAGGTCGCTCAGACTGACCACGCCTCCCGTCGCCCGGTGTCTCTGGAGGAGGGTGTCCCAGGTGTGTGAAAGGAGGAACGCGCCGTCATCACGGTTAATGCTCCGTGCCTCGTTTTCTGATTTCATCGTCCTCCTTGATCCAGTGTTTGAACTTGTTGTTTTCTGATCCAATGACCTGAGCCCCGACCTGATCCAGAATGTGGTTGTTCCTTTTACACTGGTCTGATGTGGCGGATTTTAGGTTTTCCTGTTCTGCTTTATCTTTCTGTGTTCTGGTGAGTCTCCCTGACGTTTCCTTTTCGCATTCCTTTTGGTGTTCCTTTTTTCGGGTCATTGTATCGGAAAACAACAAGTTCAAACGCTGGATCAAGGAGGACGGTGAAATCAGGAAACGAGGCACGAACAGCATTAACCGTGATGACGGAGCGTTCCTCCTTTCACACACCTGGGACACCCTCCTCCAGAGACACCGGGCGACGGGAGGCGTGGTCAGTCTGAGACACCTGCAGGTCCATCAGGAAGTAACAACAGCTGATATACGACACGTCACCACCAACACCAGGACAGATCTGAAGACGCAGCAGAAACATGTCAACAAGGTAAACACACTTTACTGTATTGTCTTTAAAAAGAACCCAAGAAGTTAAAGTATATAAGAAGACAAAATGAACATCTTTTGCTTAATCCTGAGCCTGACTAAAGCTAAATCAGACCTGTAGTTTAAGATCACGTGGTGACTCTGGGAAGGCCAGAGCAATGGAGCAACGACATCACGGAAAATGGGCCAAAAGTGTGACGTTTTTAATGATCTGACTAAACGAGAGAGGAGCCACAGCGCGCTCACCCGCAGAGTTTGATTTAAGCCATGGAAGTTTTTCTGTTCATTCTGATCTGAGGAGCGAGAGGAAAAACACGACTCCCTCCTCCTCTCGCGGTCGCCCTGTGGACAGAGAAGAGACTGCAGAGTGTGGAGTCTGGTTAATGCTCCCGGGGAATGAAGTGTCCTGACTCCTTCCTGATGCTCGGTCGTTCGTGAGCAGTTTAAGTTTCTCTGTGCGTAAAAGTAAAACTGTAACAGAATTCTTCACATGTTCCTTAACAAGAAACGATCAAATCCCGGTAAAGCTGAAAGTCTCTCTAAACAGTTTCAGACAGAGACAAGTGCGTGAGGCTGAAACTTTTGACTAAACTGTTTCTTTAGACGTTCTTGGAGACAAAGCTAAAATCATCTTGACAAACGTTTACACCGAAACGAATCACTGAATCGGAAATGATTTGCGTCCAGACACATCGTTCTGTCCGCAGTCCTTCTCCATCCACACAGCTTAGTGCACATTTGTTTTTACGTTTTACAGAAAGGAAACTTAAAACTAAAGACTAAGAGCTCAAAAAACAGCTCGCTCCTTGTGCTCTGATGCAGTTCAGCTTCTGTCGGACTAAAGGACGGACACGTTCCAATAAAGACGTGACTCGAGCTCCTACATCAGAGTATCAGTGTTTTTGGGATCAGATCTGGACCAACATGAATTCGTGGAGCTGGAGGCACCAGATCGTTCCGTCTCTGGAGCCGTTTTCCATCAGATTAGTGTGAACGAACACTGCACCCACAACCAAAATGACTCACATACACACTAGTGTGAATGGGGCCTAAGTCTGGTCTCGATCAGGTTTGTTTCCAGGTGGTTGTTACTGCAGCAAATCAGGTCACCTCTGGTCAGTCACTTTGGTGGAACTGAGGCTTTGACGAGCCTGGATTGGCCAAATAAGTCAGACTTAAACTTTAGCTTCATGGAAAAAGGACTGAAATAATCCAAATCATTTCAGTGAAGTTGTGGAGTTTAAAAACACAGTATCACCACATGACATCACAGGGTGGAGCAGATCGTGTGTTAAACATGTGAATGAAACAAAAAAACACAACTCCAGGTCTGTTTGTGACGAGGAAACGACATTAGAACAGATCAGAAAAGTTTAATATTTGCGCTTTAAATGAAACCATTTTATTTATTTTTTTGGTTTAATTGTTTCCTCATCAGAACATCCCCAGACACATGTCATAATATTTTTGATATAATTTCTGTAGCATGTTTCTGTTCCAGTGCGTTGATGGTTCATGTGGTTCATGTCTCAGGTCTGTGCAGAGTCGTGTCGTGTTTCAGCCGCAGCGTCTCGGGTCAGATTCTTATCAGCTCCTTCAACAAACCACTGGCCCTGACCTGGTTTCACACACAGACATGTGGGGACAACAGAGCACACACACACACGCACACACACACACACACACACACGCACACACACACGCACACACACACACACACACGCCTCTGCGGGACTGGAACCCGCAACCTCAGGTTTGGTGCATGAGATCGTCATCAGTTTCATTCAGATCTTTTCACATCTGTGAGTTTAAACCGAGCTGGGACAGAACAAGAGTCATGTTCCTCAAGTAGAAGAACAGCAGAAATGATCCTGAAGTTAGAATGAAAAAGTATTTGGAAAAACTACTACTCAAGCAAAAGTAACTTAAAGAGTAACTGTATTTGTAACTGTAAGTAAATTTAACAAAATCTGGTGTTTTTACTTTCAAATGTGTCTTATTCAGAAACTAGAGGAACTATTGAAATAAGTAAAGTATCAGAATGTAGGAAAGAGTTACACTCCAACAGGGTCAAGTTAAACCTGTGAGATTCTTTCAAGTTCAAGACAAAAACATTTAAAAACTCATGTCGGTAACGGAGGGAATGAAATATGCAGCACTTTTTGGTCAATAAATCCAAACAGTGATAACTCTTGGTTCTCACTTCCATATCCTTAACAAACTGGTTTGAATATTTGCTTCATATAGTTTTCTACCATATGGTACAAGATTAGGTTGAAAAACCTCAGACTTTTTGACTCATGAGATTTTTTATTAAGAAAGTTCATGGTAACGGAGGGAAAAGTAACGGAGGGAAAAATTGTACAAACAAGTAGAAGGTGCAGGATTTTACATCATTTGTCACTTTTTTCTTCTGAAAACTTTAATATTACTTCAAAATGAAAGAAACTATTTCTATAAAATATGTCAGTCCTTCCAAGAACATTTTTATCATTTTAAATACTTTTTCTATTTTAAATCCTGTCCCTTCATCAACAGTTCAAAGATGGAATAACACAAGATATGATGAAATACAAACATTTATTTACATGATTTTTGGGTCTTTGAAATTTGGGAAATAATTTTTGTTCCATGTTTCATTCATGGTCTGTTTAAAACGGATGGAACTTTAGAACCAAAAATGGAACAGAAAAAAGGTCAACAGTTTGATAAACTAGAGAACATATGTATCTGTTCAATACAGTTTTATATCAGATGAATTAATGAATTGAATTTTTGGCCTTGTTGTTTACCGGGCCCAAGGACAGAGACAAAAATGAGACAAACTAAATCAGATCTGAAGCAGCTGCAAGAAACAAATTGTTCAAATCATTTCAGATTGTCACATGAAACTTTTGTCAATTTAGACTCACTCAAGAAAAAAGTACTATTACTCTGATAAAAGTATTACTCATGTACGGAAAACTATGATGCTCTGAAAAGTACAATTTCTTTAAAAAGTGAATCCAGTTATTGTTTTAGTTCTACACCTCTGACTCTCTACAGTGTGAAACACAAAGGCTGAGGTGCACAACTGACTCCACAGCTGATGTCGTCAACGTTCCCTGAGGGGGTGAAACTGTGGGCACTGCTCCGTCTGAAGCTCGGATAAACTTCCGTCTGAATTTTGTTTTATCACAACCTGAACATAAAAAACTGACTAAACCAGAAGTCCAACAGATGAACTGATGTGAACTGTGAAACAAGCCTCAGTTTTTCATCAGCGTCACTTTTTTTTTGCTGAAAATCAAACTCCTGAACACGACAATGAACCACAAACCGTGTGTCGTTTGTTCATTTGTTTTTCAAAATAAAACCAAAAATAAGAAAATGAAAAAAACAACTATTTTCTTCATTATTTGTCTCCAAAACCAAAATGAAAAAAACAAATAACGATTCATTTTTTCAGTTTTCGATTTTGTGTTTAAATGAAAAATGGAAAAAACGGATAACGGACTGAACCAGGACTAAACCAGGACTGAACCAGGACTAAATCGTTTTCAGTCCTGGTCTCAGTCCTGGTCTGGTCCCAGTCACAGTCTCGGTCTCAGTTCCGGTTTCAGTCCTGTTCTCGGTCTCAGTCCTGGTCCATTTCCTGGTCTCAGTCTCAGTTTCAGTTTCAATCCCGGTCTGGTCCTGGACCTGGTTTAGTCCTGGTTCAGTCCGTTATCCGTTTTTTCCATTTTTCATTTAAACACAAAACCAAAAACTGAAAAAAATTAATCATTATCGTTTTTTGTTTTTTTTTCATTTTTGGTTTTGGAGACAAATAATGAAGAAAATCGTAGTTTTTTTCGTTTTGTTATTTTTGGTTTTATTTTGAAAAACAAATGAACGAATGACGACATGTGCTCTTTAAATACATTTTGTGTTTTTAAATGTTGTGTTAAAGTGACCGTTGTTGTACCTGAGCTTTGGCAGCCCTCGGGTTCGTCGTAGATGTGGTCCGGTCTGTTGCTGTGAAACACGTTCCTGATCTGAAACTCGTCGATGCTGTCGTACAGAGGGTCGGCCGCCGGGGTGCGCTTCGACTCCGCCCCTCCCAGCTCCCGCAGGTCAGGGATCACCAGGTCAAAGGGCAGCGAGTACTCGGACTCGAAACCACGTCTGGCCTCAAACTGAACACACAAGACAAGCCACATTTATCACGTGAAAAAGAGAAACACAACAGACTCTGCTCATGTTTCAGAGGGAGGACAGAGCCGACACAACTCTGTTCCTATTCACGGAAAATCTACAAACTTTTGGTCCACAAATGTTCAACCGTATCATTATTTGTTTAAACTTTACTCCACAAACGTGTCATATTAATCTTATGACTCAAAGTCCTTTTACCTGAAACACGCGCGTCTCTGAAGCTGAATAAAAGCTCCACTTTCTGAATCTGCTGTATCGATATATCGCCAAGAGGATTTTTTGGTTTATTTTACTAAATAATTTACTTACAGCTACAGTTTTGTTTGTTTAGTGGAAGGAAACTTGTTTATGCGACACATTTGACATTTTCACTGTTTTGATGATTAAAATGTTTGTGTTTCATATGAACTTTACACAAGAAGTGATTTTACAAAGACTTTTAGTATCACAGACACGATTTACACTTTAATTGTTGTTTTAATTGAACCCTATCGAATCAATTTGAAATATGTTATATCGGTCTGTGTACCATTGTTTTTCTTGAATTTCAATTAAGAATGAAAACCAATAAAATGGGAAACAGTTTATTTCATTTTTTCCGTTTTAGTGTCAAACAAAAAAACAGATTTTGACCTCTAATATTTAATTTAAAGTTTATTTCAAATAATACCAATCAAATTTTTTACATTTTTGATTGGCCTATTTTTATTTTGATATTTGATTCTCTCTGGTTTATTTGAAGTTCTGCTGCTGAAGGACGAACCTGAAAAACTATTGCAGTTTTGCGGACAAACGTGTTTCTTCTTTTGCAGCAACATGTTTATTTTCACGTCTTAGAAAGTGATTGTTCTCAACCACAGAACTATAATAAAAATTGTTTTTATTATAGTTCTGTGGCTGAAACTGAATTCACACGCGACTCTGATCAGAAGAACTTCATATAAACCAGAGAGAATAAAACAGGAGAGTCAAACTCAAACTCACAGAGGCCAAACTAAATATTTATTGAAAAATTTAAACAACATCTGCATGTTTTCTCTTCTTTTGAGATCTGTAATGTTAAACTTTTTCTTATTAAAATAAATGTTTAATAATAGTTTTGCTTAAACATTGAATCCAGAACAAACAGAATATAAAATAATTACATAATAATAAACTGTGTCTCTATAGTCTGTCTGTGTGCGGCTGCAGCTCTGATACAGATTTGATATGATCTCACAGGCCAAATATAATTATATGACGGGCCAAATCTTGGCCCCCAGGCCGGAGTTTGTCATGTCTAGAATCATGAAAAATAACATCAGCACTAAGACTGTTTTTTTGATTGGTGTTATTTGAAAGAAACTTTAAATTAAATATTGTAAATCGAGGTTGAAATCTGAAAACAGAAAAATCAAATAAACCGTGTTTTCCATTTTATTGTTTTTCGTTCTTAATTGAAATTCAAAAGAACGAACGATACATGGACCTGTACTGAATCAAAAGTGCACTGTATCGAGGGATGTATTGTATCTGCAGCTTCTTATCGATACGCAGCCCTGTCGATATATCGATATTTAGACCTTGTGTCGCGCTCCGTTAAACATCGCTCACCGATCCGTTGGGGCCCTGGTTCTTGCCCTGGTTCTTGCTCTTCTTCTTGCGATCCGCCGGGACCTGCGTGTACGGCGGCGGCGGGGGCGGGCCCGGCAGAGCGGAGGGGGCGTGGCCCGGCGCGGCGGAGGGGGCGGGGTCTCCGGGCAGGGGGCAGCTGCTGATCATTTTGACCTGGCTCTTCCTGTGCACCGGCGGGTCCCTGTTCTCCAGAGTCAGACTCTTCACTGCAGTGAGAGTTTTGTCCACCGGAGGCTCCAGACGACACTAACCACAAAGACACAAGGACACGAGGACATGAGGACATGAGGACATGAGGACACAAGGACACAAGGACACAAGGACACAAGGACATGAGGACACAAGGACACATGAGGACACAAGGACATGAGGACACAAAGACACAAGGACACAAAGACACAAGGACATGAGGACACAAAGACACAAGGACATGAGGACACAAGGACACAAGGACATGAGGACACAAAGACACAAGGACATGAGGACACAAGGACACAAAGGACACAAGGACATGAGGACACAAGGACACATGAGGACACAAGGACACAAGGACATGAGGACACAAAGACACAAGGACATGAGGACACAAGGACATGAGAACACAAGGACACAAGGACATGAGGACACAAGGACACAAGGACATGAGGACACAAAGACACAAGGACATGAGGACACAAGGACACAAGGACATGAGGACACAAGGACACAAGGACACAAGGACATGAGGACACAAGGACACAAGGACACAAAGACACAAGGACACAAGGACACAAAGACACAAGGACATGTGACAGGACAATTAGTTTTTAAGCAGAAACCTCATTTAAAGTGCACTGTGTAACTTTTCTGTTGGGGATCCATCACCTTCGTGTTTCTATGGATGAGTCATTGCTCTGTCTGGAATGTTCCACAGTGTGACTTTAAAGGTTGTACGGAGGATTTGTTTTTAGTTTCAAATTGTCAATGAAAGTTCAAAATATCATCACAGAGACACAGCAGACTTAGAATTATGATGAAAAAAAAAAAAAGATAGAAAATCCAACAAGTGTAGACATGGTCCAGAGTCCTGCACCGGGTCAGGAAAAAAAACAAAACAAAACTGTCGTTGTGCCTTAGGCAAGACACTAAACCCAATTGCCTAGTATGAAAGTGGTGTGTGTGTGTGTGTGTGTGTGTGTGTGTGTGTGTGTGTGTGTGTGTGTGTGTGTGTGTGTGTGTGTGTGTGTGTGTGTGGCGGTGGTCAGAGGAGCAACACAGGACCTCAGTCTGCTGTTCATCTCCACTTAAAAGCCACAGGCCGCTCACTTGAGGACAGTGAGGTACAGATTTTAGCCAGAGAAAAGAATTGGTTTGAGAGGAGAGTGAGAGAAGACATTTTTGTTAAGAAAGAGAATCCTTCTCTAAACAGAAATGGAGGCCTCAGACACTCAGACCCTCCTATTTACACGTCCATCCTTAAACCTAAAACAAACAAGAACAACAGGTGTAGTCAGGTCAGGTCCAGAGGTGTGGAAGCTCCATTATGGACATGAACTGTTCTGCTAATTAGACCCACACCCTGAACAGGTCAACAGACCGAAGTAACAAACACAAACTGTAAACAAGTGTGTGTGTTAGTTTCAGTGTAGTTTCAGTGTAGTTAGCTCATCCCTGCAGACAGATATAAGGAAGTGTCACCAGCGTCTGACCAGAACTGAAGAAGCAGCTTGGATGAGCTGAGAAACGTCTTCAACCAAAACTAACTTTTGTCCAGTCGACAAACTGAATTTTCTCCTCATCACCGGATGTGGACAGAAAGAATAATGAATCTGTAAAGCGTCTTTGGGACAAATGTCTTTGAAAAACACTATAGAAAATAAAAAAAATAAAAAATAAACGTACTTACTGTAGCTCAAAAATAGAAAAACAGACATTATGACTGTGAGCGGGGTCGCTTCTCCACAGATCTGACCTGTAACTTGGTCCGGTTTGGTCTCCATGAAGATAGAAAGGTTTAATGTCATATTGTGGAACATTCCAGACAAAGCACCAACGTCTCCATGGAAAAAAATGACACCCTGCACCTTAAAACTTCTCAATTTCAACCGTATCATTGTTAGTCCATCAAAAATCCAACCTCTTTTCCAAAATCTTTTCATCACCTAAACAAAAATGTACCTGTTTATTTTACATTTCAAAGTGGAAATGTGTCAAATAAAGTGTAATCTTTTGTTTATGTGGAATTAGCTTCAGTATTTAGTCCCATTGTTTAAATACACGACATAAGAACAGAAATGATTTGAATCTGTGTATCTGTGTGAGTACGTCGCTCTGTCACGTAGGGGGCGCTAAACAGACGAGGAAAACTAAAGGAAAAGTTTCTGGTTTCCACTTTTGCTGATAGATGTTCGGTGTTTGGTGAAGCGTCGTGTTCCTCGTCACCTGGTGGTGGCGCAGCGACGGAGACGAGATCTCTCTGTCCTTCTGTGTGACCTGGAGAGCCAAGTCGTTCACCAGACTGTACACCGGGTCAGGGTCCTGGGTGCAGAGGAGGACAGTGAGTGTGTGTGTGTGGTGCAGAGGAGGACAGTGAGTGTGTGTGTGTGGTGCAGAGGAGGACAGTGTGTGTGTGTGTGAGTGTGTGTGGTGCAGAGGAGGACAGTGTGTGTGTGTGTGTGTGTGTGTGTGTGTGGTGCAGAGGAGGACAGTGTGTGTGTGTGTGTGTGTGTGTGTGTGTGCAGAGGAGGACAGTGTGTGTGTGTGTGTGTGTGGTGCAGAGGAGGACAGTGAGTGTGTGTGTGTGTGTGTGTGTGTGT